TTTATCGAGGTACGTATTTCGGTTGAATGGAAACCCCTCCTCTTGGTTCGATTAAATTGAACATTGATGGGTCCTCAAAGCAGGGAGTAGGTACAGGTTGTGGTTTATCTTTTGCTTCGACTAAATAACTACAGCATTTGCTCAACAAACATGGTTGGCGGAGGCAGTGGCCTTCAAAGATGATTTATCTTTTGCTGTTAATGCTGGTTTTCGGAACCTAACTATGGAAAGTGGTTCAAAAGTTCTAGTAGTCGATGTTTTTCATAAGGCTATAACAGTCCTGTTGAGAATTCAGTATATTTTGATGCTACATCTGGCAGCTCAACAGTTTACACGGTTTGATGCTACCTCTTTTGCATATACATAGGGAAGGTAATCAGTTCTCGGATAGTCTATAATATCTTAGATTTTTTTTTCACATGCCTCTAAACGAACAATCATCCTCTGCGATCCGTACTTGTAATGTAATAATAGATGTATTTTCAACATAAATTAATAAAATCCACAAGATTATTCTTGGGCATGCGCGAAGTTCCGTCCAAACAAAAAACAAAAAAGAAAAAACAAAAGAAAAAAAAGGAAACCCCTCAAGTTGCTTCAGTGACGCAAAGTTCTAAAGAAACCTAGTGGTTAAGGGTTGCACTAGAAACATATCCTGTTTTAATTACTGGGACAACTGAATACAGCACAAATGGGTCATGACAGCACCGTATTGGAAGCAAAATCATGGAAAACAACCTTGAAACCAATGGAAGGGCGAGACTGTTCCATGGTGATAGAAAGGCACTTCAAAATTTATGAAACTAAAAGAAAGATGAGAATGTTACAGATGCAATTTATGATAATTATGTTGGAAACATGACATACATATTAGCGGAATTTGCATATCATGTAGATTAATTAAAATTAATTAAAGTTTAGAAGAATACCTGAAACGCTTTCTAAATTTCTTCAATAATTTGTCCTAAGATCAATCTGAAATAGTTTCCTCAAGAGAAAAAACCTCCAAACTGAAATCCGCTCGTCACCAAAGAGGAACAATACTAAGATAATTTCTCAATTTTCTATTTCTTATTTCTTGTTCTTCTCATAAGGCTACATATAAACCCTATATATAGGATTAGACTTACCTTATAGATTTCAATTTCAAAATAATTCTTAATTGTTTAAAACTATTTCCATAACAATTAAAGATAGAATATTCTTTCCATAACAATTAAAGATAGAACATTCTTTTCACAACAATTAATGATAGAAATAAAATTGTATTGCATGTAAATCTCTTCTAATGACATTAGTGAGAGCAATTAGGCCTCATATCGAGAACCAATTTTTAATCAAATTAATAATTTTAATTTAACAATCTAATCCATGTCCAACCAATTGTTCATAAAAGCTCTTTCATAATATGAGATTAAATATTCGTGAATAATATTATCTTACATTCAGTCCCATCCAGTATCGATTTATTTTAGGAAAGTTTATTGAACAAGACAAATCACCTATTTGCTCATGTCTAAAATTACAATCCTCATGAACATAAATAAAAATTATTTTGAGACATAAAAATATTTTATTTTTATAAGGAAAAAAATTTTAAAAAATAATTTTCAAAACCATCCGTCAACAAGAATTTAATACCTTTAGGGATATGCATAATAAATTAACTCATCCAAATGAGCATACCAAATCCTATCTAGATATCCATCTTTTTCCTAAATGAAATCTAGTAACCCAACATTTCAGGTTGTACAACACTTGTAAAACAAGTCTAACCATCATATCAAAGTGTATTAAATTATCAAATCGAAATGGCAATATCATTACGTCTAAGGGACTATGTAACAATTCAAATTCTCTATCTATTAGGTAACTCGTTCTAGAGAATCCAAATGTGGTCCAGTGCTATACATATCACAATATGCACTTATGACATACACGCGAGGAAATATCATGCCGAAGCAGCTGAAACCCACCACTATATCTTACATGTCGGTGTCATGCATAATAACCTGTTATACCAAAGCTATCATTTATTAGTTATAGGTTAAGCACAAAATTAAGAAACCTCTAAATTAGATCATATATCCAAGCAAGTGACCATCACAGTACGTGATTTAACAAAATAATTTCTAAGGATAACAAACAATTATATAAAAGATATCCAAACAATATGTGCAACAATAAAACATAATTAATATTACAAAATATTACATAAAAAATGTATTGTATGTGTAAGGGTATATAACACTACTCTAGCAAATTATGTGTCTAAACACCCTTCTACTATTATTTGTATATCAATATGAAATGATAAACGTCATCCACTTACATAGGACTCACGAGTCAAACATTGTTGGACTTGCTTAAGCATTCAATGGCGAGTTCGGATTTCGGTCAAACAATTCCATTATCGATGTAGAATATTAAAACAATACCTCAAAAGGACATGGAGACGAACATCATATGAACAATGACAGAGCAAGGAGCAGTATAAGGCTTGCTGAGAAAAAGTTCTAGAATGTTCGACTTCTTAACCAAAAAGAAATTAAATGTACGTAACTTGCAGTACTACATGAACTCATAAGGTAAATTTACTTGACAGAGAGAGCATTCTATTGATTTATTTGCGCATAAGAAGCTAAAATCCTTAACCCATGCTACTCCATTGCGGAGTCTTCTGAAGACCTCTTCATCAATGTCTGTGAAGGAACTGATGCATTAGAGTTTTAGAATCTTCTTTTTTCTCTGCCGCGATCACCTTCCCTGGGACTTCTGCTTGCTTCCATGCTTAGTTCTTTCTTCTATTGAGGGGTTATTTATTGGGACAATCCAGAGAAAAGTTGGACAACTGCTCCAACGGTATGGACAATCTTAATCCAATGAGACAAATTGAGTGAGACAAAATGGGATAAGTTGGTCCAAGATGCTTACAGAAGCCTCTTTTGACGACGATAACTACAATTTCTTGTGACTTGCTATTGGATTGTCCAAGATGCTGGTTCCACGTCATTATGCCTTGGAGCCTCTTTTGTTGATGATAATCATTGCCATGTTGACTTCTGTAAAGGTCCTCCAGTCATCAGTTCCATCACAATGGAGCTCAAAGTTCAGGTTCTTCTGAGGATGCTCCCTGGGAATCAGGAAATAGTAAGTCCTGACAGAATGATAATGTTATGAAGCGTGAATGGCATGCCAATGTTGAAGACCGAGCTGCACCATCTATTCAAAAGAAAAGTAAAAAACGAAGCATATTACTCACTAATATGACAAACTGAATATAATATTTATAGGACTAGAAAATCTTGGAAGCATGAAACTGATTAGTGAATAAGCATCCTACTTTGCTGTCATGTAAAATAAGGGGGGAAATATTTAACTGTAAATACAAAAGCAATTGATAAAAGTGAAACGCATGCTGATTCTGATCCCATAAAATGAAAATGTATATATAAAAATAATAGTGGAAAGAAGAAATAAGGTGTACACATCTGCTAGGTCTGAAGGGTGTAAGAGAGGAACCTAATTGACAGTGAAATAACTTTGCTTATTTAGAGATGCTATAATCCTAATTGACAGTAAAATGAAGACTGCATTTACAGATGATGTAGTTAGAAGCTTAAAAATATAGAATAAAACATTTAATTCCAATTGCAATGGCGATGGTCAAAATTTCTATAAAATAAACAACATAAATAAACCATGGGTGCTCTCTTACGGCAAAGAGCATGATAGTGCATGGTTCCAATTTCTAAGGGTTTTTTGAATAATGTTTTTAGAGAAAATGGGAGATTGTTTTTAGAGCAAATGGGAGAAGTCTCAATGGATACTGTAGTACTCTTAAGTCCAACCCAACACTATTCGGCTTGGTAGTGCCCTATATGACTGTACTTGGTTGATTAGCTACTGCATTGTGTTATGCTGTTTGAATGTAATATTGAGTAGTTTGCACACATGATTTCTTGTATGGTGCCAAAGGTAAACATTTTATTTCATCATGTTTTCCACTTTGACCATGCCAAATTTTATGTTATGCTCTTGCAGGTTGATTTATTATTTCATTTCTTGTTAGTGATAGATGATATGTAAGTGAAATTGGATAAGCTCGTTGAGAATGCAACTCCATATTATAGGATTTGCATCAATGCAAGTGATATTCCTACTATCGCCATTACACATTATTATTACCATATTTAATTGATATGATCAGTGATGTTCCTACAACTAATACAAATTGTTGTGAACAGTGAGATTAAACCATGATAGATCATTCTGCCTATGAAACATATAACTCAAAACTGGTATTAGTAGTGAGGAGTTGTGCACTCAGTTCTTACCTTAATACAGGAACTCCCAAAAGTTTCAAGTAGAAGTGATAATCCTTTATCACCTAAAACGCTATTTGGACACTTGCAACAAAATTTCATGGACGTCTCCAAGAGAAGAAATTGGAACATGAATTTAGCTTAAGAATATTAAAAGTTAATATGACATGAATTCCAAATTTCTTAATAAGATAAAAGATCAGGACCCTAACTTGTAAGCTTACCTATAAGGATTTAAAACTTTCATCCCAGAAACTGTGCTGTGCCTGGATTCATGTATCAGAGCTTTCACCTGTAAGTCAGCTACTGCAGACCCTTAGCATGCACTTCAATAATCATTTTTGCAGCAACTAATGTTATTTAGTATGTAATCTTGTCGTAGCCTTAGAATTACTATGCCGGTAAACAACGCATACATTCTCTAGCCAACATCAGATTGCATAACATCAACAGTGCTGAAACCAGTTTCCTTCACTGAACCCTTCACCTCCTTTGATCTCAAAGCTTCAACAATCTCAAACCTTCCAACTGATGCATAAACATTCGAAAGTAAAACAGCGCATCCTGAATCCCCTGCGCTCATCTTCGACAGCCTATCTGCTGCCACTTCAGCATGACCAACATCCTCATGTGTTCGACACCCAGAAAGCAAAGTCTTCCAAACATTTTCACCCGCTTCACGAGCATATCAACAACACACCCAAAATGCTCTCCTCTTTGATCAACCTTTTTCTCTCTGACCATTTTCTCAAAAATGGCTAATCCAGCATCCACCAATCCCGAGTGGCTACAAGCATTCAATACATTTAGATATGTAAAACTATCTGGCTCTTCACCACAGTTCTCCATGTCCTGAAAGAGATAGATTGCATCTTCTCCTTTGCCATTAATTCCATATGATGATATCATTGCGTTCCATGAGGTTGAATCTCTATGGTTCATTTCTTTAAATACCTCGAATGCTAGACTTACCTGACCACATTTCCCATATGCTGATACTAGGCTATTTGAAACAGGAATTATGTGAACAGAACCCAATTTTATTCCATAGGCATGGAGCTGACTGCATAGCTCAAGACTAGCTATCTTAGAGGAAGATGCTAATAAACTTACCAATGTGACTGAATCAATATTATAATTTTCTTCTCTTCTCATCCTAATAAGCAATCCGAAACCTTTACTATGTTGCTCATTGTGCACATACCCAGATATCATAGCGGACCATGACACCAAGCTCTTGTTGAAAATATGATCAAATAATGTTTTTGCAGACTCTAGATCCTTGCACTTGGAATACATTGAAATCAAGGAGTTTACAATTGGAAGCTCCAATCCAATTCCTGCGGTTAGAATTTGGTTATGGATCGATCTCCCTCTCCTCAAGTCTCCCAGGAGCGTGCAAGCTGTGATCACATTAACCATTGCTATCATGTCAGGAGAAATGCCACTGCCTTTCATTCTTATGAACATACTAAGAACTTCATTAGTGTTTTCAACCTCTAAAAGGAACCCCATCATGCTCGTCCAAGAAACAACATCCAAAACAACCATCTTATCAAAAAAATCTTTAGCAATCTCTAGATTCCCCAAACTCAAGTACATGTTGAGAACCGAATTCATCACTGAAACATCACAATCCAATCCAGACTTCACAATGTAACCATGAATACTCTCACACAGTTCAAACGAGCCATAGCCGATACAACCCTGAGTGATGCTCATCATGGTTACACAGTTGGGAACCAAATCAAACACCCACAATTCTTTAAACAACAATAGTGCTTCTTCATAGTGATCATTATGCACGAACCCAGAAATCATTGCATTGCAACTAACCAAACTTGGTTCGCTCATTTCTTCAAACAAGCTATATGCAATGGCAACACCCCCACACTTAGCATAGAAATCTAACAATGATGTCCTAACAAAGGGATTGGATTCCCACCCACTCTTCACAATTCTTCCATGAATAGTTTCTCCCAGCCAAAAGTCACGGATGCCCGCCGCAGTAAGTAACATTGCAACGAAGGTGAAAGAATTGGGGCTGAATCCTGTCTTTTGCAATTCTGAAAATAGATTGAGAGATTTTTGGAAAAGCCCATGACTTGAACAGCCGTAGATCATGGAGGAATAGGAGACTATGTTCTTGTTGGGTATTTCATCGAACACTTTGCGTGCAAGACTTATCTTTCCAGATTTGAAGAGCTCAGGAATGGATTTTGCAGTCAAAGAGTGGGTTGAGATTATCCTTGCCATTGGAGACGAGGAGAGTGTGCAATCCCTTTGAATTACAGTGAAGTTTGGGAGACAGTAAGGAGGTCCAAATGCAAGATCAGCACAAAGGCCAGTGAGTGCGAGGCTCCAGTCTGATTTTCGAACGCCAGAAACAGTTTTTTCAATTTAGTCCGTTCCCTCTTTTATTTATTGAAATTAGTACCTCAAATCATTGAAATTGTACTCCTTGTTCTTAAGTTACTTTGAAATTAGTCCCTCAAACAATTGACTTTTTATTATTAGAGAGACCATTCTCTTAGGTTATTTAGAGTAAACCCCTTCTATTTCCAATCTTGACTAGAGACACAAATTTAAGCAACTTATAAAAATTAGAAGGCCTAATAGTTATTCATATGATTTAAGGGACTAAGCTTGAAATAAATTAAGAATTTGATGGCCTAATAGCAATCTCAAAGATTTAAGGCCTAATAGCAATCTTTAGGGCACCAATTTCGAGAAAGCTTGTAAGTGATAATATTACGATTAGACAAAAATTGTTGTTACAAGGACCCAAAAAATAGGACAGGTAGGGGGACATGTGAGGTCTGAACCTCACCTTGTATAATGAGCTGGTAATGACCAGCTCATTATGTAAGGTGAGGTTGACACCTCACTTGTCCCACTACCAACTCATTATGCAAGGTGAGGTTGACATCTCACTTGTGCCACTACCTGTCCTATTTTTGGGTCCTTTTAGTATTTTTTTACACAAATATCTATTCATAAAAATATTATTGGGAACCAAAAAAAATTTATGGAAATAAATATTACTATAATTATTTTCACGATAACTCATCTAATTAATAAATGAGTAAATATTGAATATAACATGAAAGCTACAAAGACATATGTAGTAAATATTGGGTTATTTGAATAAATATTATACCCATTAAATCATGAGTATCTGCGAAAATATCCCTAATCTTAGTATTTGCAATATTATCCCTCAAATCATCTACTTTGTGAAAAAAATATCCCTAAATCATTAAATCATCAACTTTGTGCTAAAAAAATTGACTATTTGTTGATAATTTCTACATTGCAATTACAAATTAGCTTGTCAAATTTGGTGATTAATTGCTTTCAGGGTGGTATTTTTCTAAACTTGATGATTTGAGGGGTAGTTCTGTGAACACTAAGATTTTTAGATCGTTAAGTGTAAATATCTCTATAAGGTTATCTAAGAGTTCATATTTCAAGTTCGCATGATTTCCGAATTTCGAGGACGAAATTCTTTTAAGGGGGGAAGAATGTAAAACCCCAAAAATTTCTACAATAAATATATGTGAGTTATTAATAGTAAATATTTTCCTTGTGATGAATAATCATATATATACACATATATATGTCATATGAATGTAATTATCTGTGTTTGAGAACCCAACAAGTGATTTTAAGTGAGAGAAATCGAGTGTTATGGCCAGCGTGTGAAATGCCCAGCAGCAGGCATTTTTGTGCCGCGCGGCCGACCGACGCAGTCGACCGCACAGCGGTCAGAGAGCTTCCAGGTTTTGTTTTCTTTGCGGTTTTGTTTCGGGTCTATTGGGTTTCGGGTCGGGTTGTGTGTTTGATATATATATACAAATGCACCCGTGAGAGCCTCCCTCAGATCTGGAACCAAAACCCTAGCCCCCCTCTCTTCCCAAAAACCCTAATCCTCTTTGGTTGGTGATTTTCTTAAGGATTTGCAGCAGCTGTTGGTGGGATTCAGCGAAGGGAAACGTTCTCCTTCAGGTCTAGAGATCCATCGCTTACCTAAGGCGAGTATCATCTAGCCCAATCCCTCACCCCTGTTTTATATGATTTTCTTTTGGATTTTCATGAGTTTTGATGAGCCAAAAACGTATTTTTGTATAAAGATGGATTCTTTATAATATGGATTCCAAGTCTCAAACGTTTCAGTTTATAAAATCTCACAAATGTTCCGTTTATTTAAGATCTAGATCTGAAAATTTCCTAAACAAGAGTTATATCATTTTTACAGTCATTAAGAACGTTTTGGTTTGTTTATTATGGATTTAAAACAATGAAAAAGTAGATTTCAGACTTTGGATCCGTTGTTTATCTTCAGCATTTTTCTTTTGAATCATTAAAACCCTTGTTAGCGTAGAATAACAAATTTTTGTTCCAGGTTTTGAGCTGACAGAAACCCAGATTTGGGTTTCTGTCCGCTTAGCGGTCGACCGGAGCGGTCGACCGCTGAGCTCGTTTTAAGGCTTCGGTTGACCGTAAATTTTTTCGGTCGACCGCGACGTTCTTTCGGTCGACAGCAAATTATTTCGGTCGACCGCGACGTTTTTCCGGTCGACCGCCAGTCACATACCAGAGTGCGGTCGACCGGTGCGGTCGCCCGCCGCACTGTTTGTTGTGATTTCCTGTTCTGGATATTTTTGGGTATATTTCTTATGTTCGGGGGTTTGCCTGGACTATCTAACCTTGGTATTTAGTCTCACTATGTAATTCATGCATGATAGATGACCTGAGGGTATGATTTGGGGACTTATACACTGATTGAGTGTGGATTGATATAAGTAGACTTCACTATATACATCATAGCGATATTTTCACTATTTCAAAGTCCTCGTGATGGACTATAATCCATAGAAGTCCTCGTGTTGGACTATAATCCATTTCAGTCCTCGTGTTGGACTATAATCCATGTCAGTCCTCATGTTGGATATTTGCCACTTATTCTATGAGTTGGAAACTACCTTATATAGTTCCTGTTTCGGACATAGTTCTTAACTCTGCATATGACCTTCTCACAGAAGTTCACGACATGATTTTGACATGACATTCATGTAGGCTATGATATGGTACTGCGCTTATGTTCTGAGATTTGTTGTATTTCATTTATTATTGTTCCTGTATTAGAACCTCGGGTTTGGTGATTAGGGGTTTATAATTTGAGATATAAGGTATATACATGAGGGTTTCCTTGTCTGGATTATTTCGCTCGACGTACCTATTCTCGTGTTGTAAATTTCTAACTACTAAAACCCTCTTTAGCAAGACCAATGATTTTAGTTCTATTATGTATTAACTGTATTTTCTTATACAACAAGCCCTTTCCCTTGGGGTTGGTTGTGATGTTACTCGCTAGCACTTTGACGCTCGTTGTCCCTCCCCCTTTCAGGTCACGAGCCAGGAGCACGGAGAACCGCAGGTTGATAGTGGACCACTTTAGTGTTCAATTTTACATTTTAGCTATGTAATAATTTCTCTAGGCTCCACTGTAGTTGGTATTATACATTTGAAGACTATGCTATAGATGTGGTAAAGGCTGTATGACTTATATCCTTCATTCGGACTTGTTGTATTTGAGGCTTGTTGAGAACCTCAGTATTTTCATTTCAGACATTGTCTTTGTATTTTCTGTATATTGGATGATGAAATAGTATTTTGATCCCTATCATTTCATCAGTTATCTCTTGTATTATCTTTTACTTGCTTTTTGTACCTACACCTGTTATTGACTCTACTAGAGTGATAGAATTGTGATGGTGAAACATGTTATTGCACGGTGTGGTGCATGGCAAGTTTGACATTCTTGGTTTTACCAAGGACTGCAGCCTTGTGTGAACCCAGTGGCGTCACAGTTGGTATCAGAGCTCTAGTTCCAGTATCCTTAGGATCATCCTGTGACGAGTCGTGGAGCTAGGATAGAGTTTCCTAGGATTCATGTATAGAGTCCGTAAGGATTTCCTAGTATGAGTGAGGACGATAGATGCGTATATCTCAAAATTTGAGAAATTTTTTTTGTCAACTATTTTTGTATAAGTTTAAAGAGTATTAGTGCAATACTATATGTTGTGAAAATCTTATTGTGATACGCTATTTATAGAAGTCTATTTTGACTCATAAACTCTTATTTCCTTATGAGCAGAGAGATGGCAGGACGTGAGTTGGTGACTACTCATATAACACCATGGACACCTCCACCACCGGTAGCTCAGCAGCCGGGGATACCTACCGTTCCTATCAGAGAGAGACCTCCAGAGATCGTGCCTGCAGCCATTCCTCTAGCAGTCCCAGATAGGACCACAGAGCAGGAGGCTTGGCTCCGTATAGTGGAGAGGTATCAGAAGATGAGGGCACCAGAGTTCTAGGGGTCACCAGACCCTCTTGCAACCCATAAGTGGAAGGAGGATGTGAGCAACATTCTCGATATACTCGGTGTAGATTCAGTCAAGAAGCAGAGACTGACATCCTACAGCCTGAAGGGAGATGCCGGGAGGTGGTACCGACTCTAGTTCACTCCAGAGCAGAGGCTGACCCTCATGTGGGAGGACTTCATATATTTTTTCGATGGACAGTACATTTCTTCTGCAGCACGGACTGGGAAGGAGCTTGAGTTGTCCCGATTGACCTAGGGGGACATGTCAGTGGCTGATTTTGAGAGCCGGTTCATGGAGCTGTTACATTTCACAGGCATGTGGCAGACAGGAGAGCGTCAGGCTCAGATGTTCTTGGCTGGGCTCCGCCCTAATCTCCGACGGTACCTCGTGTTGAGGAGATTTTATTCAGTCAGGGAGGTAGCTGAGGCTGCCACATCTCAGGAGATTGAGACTTCTATGTTCCAGAAAGATAAGGAAGGGAAGGCCAAGACCGGACAGAGTGGGGACAAGGGCAAGAACAAGAGAGGTTTTTCTGGACATCAGCAGCAGCATCAGGACCCTTATAAAAGGGGACACCAGCAGGAGCAGAGAACGCATCAGCAGCGCAAGTTCCAGGGATCCTGTTTTAACTGTCACAAGGTCGTACATAAGGATCAGAGTGCCGCAACGCACCAGCAGGAGCCCAGCAGGGCAAAGGTCCGAACCAGCAGCAGCAGCAGCGCCAGCAGGGTAGAGGTCAGGGCCAGCAGAATAGGCTTGAGGCACCGCCAGCAGCTCAGAGGACTGAGCGACATATTCTCCAGCGCCATCAGCAGAGCAGTCTTCAGCCACGGGCAGGGTATATGCAGTGGTTCCTCGTGATCATGGCGCCAGTGGAGCTGTAGTGGAGGGTACGTTCTTTGTGAACTCTCTTCCCGCCCGTATTTTTTTCGATTCGGGAGCTTCGCATTCATTCATCCCGCATGTATTTATGACTAGACTCCAGCTCGTAGCTCAGCACCTAGACACCCCTA